AAATCCAGTGAGGGCGCGACCCGATGCCTTATTCATTTTCACGTTGGACCTGCATTGGAGATTGACTATCATCATTGCTATCGATTTGTTTTGCCAGGTAATGTCTCGTCGCAGCGATGCCCAGCCGAGGGTCAGGGGGGTGATGGAGAGCCCGGCGATTCAGACGCTCATTGTGTACTTTGACGAACCGCTTTGGCTTCTGCTGTTGACAAGATGTTCGATGGTTATCTAGTGGCGTTTGCGATGGAGCCAAGCCTCTCGAGTTGGGGGGCGATGTGCGGCGTGACTGTGAGAGGCGCGTTTGGCGTACGAGGGGGCCAACTGAGGGGGACGTTCAGTCCGTTCGACATAGGTTCACTTCAAGGGCGGCATCATAGTAAAATCCTGACGGCCAATGAAGTGTTCATGGTTATGGTGGATCTGCTCTGTACTGCAAAGACTTCGGGGATAGTATCTTGCTGTTCGATGCTGCGGAATGTGTTGGGCAATCTTCGTTTCTTTGCCCAAGAGAGTTCGATGCGATGCTGACTATTTGTTCTTTCACCGCCGCATCGATTTGTTCACGTATGGCGAGTTCAGTTTATTAGCGCTCACACTGCTCAGTGTCTTTGCGGCCGTGGGCCAGGAGATGGAGCTGGTCATCAATCGGAGTCGTTGTTATCATGGTGGGCACCTTCGCAATCAGTTGTTATGATGGGCAGCGTCCCCATTCCCTTTCGTGTATTCTGTGTCGTGCTCTCTAGCAGGATCACGTATGCGCTCGCCGCCTTGCGGCAGGTGGCGTAAGATGATGTGGCTCAGGGGGCATTTTCGTCGCTCGCAGCCCACGCGTGCTATTCCTGCTAAGCGTTTTAGGCCGAGGCCTCTGTCTTTTCCTCCCCTTCCTCTATCAGGTTCACTTCGGTGGGGGGGTGGGGTGGAGGGCTCTCCGGACACATCGCAGCCTCGAAGGGGGGAGGACTCCCTCCCGGCACTCTGGGAGAGCGGCCTGTGCAGCGCGCTGGCATCGCGGTGGAAGTCGTCTGCCACGGAGTCACATATCTATACATATATATATATATATATGTATCTAGGTATATAGATGTGTATGTATGCATGTATGCATGTATGCATGTATGCATGTATGCATGTATGCATGTATGCATGTATGCATGTATGCATGTATGCATGTATGCATGTATGCATGTATGCATGAATTAATGTATGCATGTATGCATGTACGAATGTATGCATGTATGCATGCATGCATGTATGTATATATATGTATGTATGTATGTATGTATGTATGTATGTATGTATGTATGTATGCATGCATGCATGTATGTATGTATGTATGTGTATGTGTATGTGTATGTGTATGTGTATGTATGTATGTATGTATGAATGTATGAATGTATGTATGTATGTATGTATGCATGCATGCATGCATGCATGCATGCATGCATGTATGTATGTATGTACTTATGTATGTATGTGTATGTATGTATTATGTATGTATGTATGTATGTATGTATGTATATGTATGTATATGTATATGTATATGTATATGTATATATGTATATGTATATGTATATGTATATGTATATGTCTATGTCTATGTATATGTATATATATATATATATATATATATATATATATATATATATATCACGGGGGAGCAGGCCCGGGGCCCGAAAACAGCTGCCTCGACCCTCCATGGGAGTACCGGGGCTCATTTTCCTTGTGTTTTTACAGGCTTTCCGCGTCCTGGGCCTCGGAGGCCGCCGCCTCCGACCCCCCATGGGAGGACGGGGCGGCCGGGGAGGTCCAAAATAATCCAGGAGGGCCTCCAGAGGCTCCCAAGACGGCCCAAGCGGGCCCCGAGTCGCCGAAAGACCGCTCCAGGACGCCCAAGATAGGCCCAAGACGGCCCGAGAGGCCCCCCAAGGCACTCCACGACGCTTCAAGACGCCTCTCCAGAGCGTTTCAAGAGGCCGAAATCGTAAATTATACGAAGGTTTTCGAACGATTTTGGCCTTCCAGCTTTTTCGGCTGTCCGACGTTCCAAGACGGCTCAATAGGCCTCCAAGAGCGCCACAAGACGGCCCAAGAGGGCCCCAAGACGGCCCCAGAGTCGCCCAAGACAGCCCAACAGAGCCCCAAGACGGCCCCAAGATGCGCCCAAGCGGGGGACCACGACTCCAAAATTCGACCCGCCCGCTTGAAGAGTGCCCCAGGAGGACCCAAGAAGCCACATGTGCCCCCATTGGGGGACTGGGAAGCTCCGGGGGTTTTGCCGAGGCGCCGGGGGCCCCCTAAGATCGCCCGAAGATTGCCCCCGGATCGCCAAACATGGCGCTTCCAGATTGCGGGAACGACCAATGACGGCTAAGACGGCCAAGGCGGCCAGAATTAGCCCCTGACTATCCAAGAGGCCTCCAAGACGCCCCCAGAAGCCTCCAAGATGCCTCCAAAGGAGTCCCGCGAGGCACAACTTGTTAATGATTATCCAAAGGTTTTT